ATCCAGAACAAGAAAAAGGCTTGTTCTGGCTCTTCGTAACATTTGCATTGAAATGCATACTAGCCACTGCAAGACTACAAGGTGTCCCTTAAAGAAAAAACCCTCAGCCGCCCTTTTAACTGCATTGGGGCTTTAACTACAACACCTTTGACTGTTTCGCATTTATGAAATCAACACAACAAATTATGGGGGAAATGTGTGTATGTGGGGTTTAGGGTTAGCTTTAGTGAGGAATAAATGTCGGTTCAAAGGGTTCATAGGGGGTACTCTATTTAAAGACCAAACCTGACACGAAAGAATGAGTGAACAGATAATGCATTTAAACCCCCACCTCACTCTTCCTAAAAGGAATGACTTGCTCAAGGTGACAGAGCAAGGTGCGGCACCGGCTATTCATTTCTCCTTTTGTTTTTAGCACTGCTGCTGTGCATTACAAAACAGGGCAGCTGTGAGCAGACAGGTGTCGAGTGGCTTGACTTTGGTGCAAAAGCTTTCTTGGTTGTTTTTCTCCTCCCCTTCTCTTTATTTGCTCTCTCCCCCTGCCTGACAACACCCTCTGAGCAAACAGACAATATGCCTGTGGATTTTTTAATTTTTGTTTCACATCTCATAGAGCATTTGGGTATTTTAATTTACCATTATTTGGTCTCCTTTACTTTCACACTTAATTACATGAAAGACAGACAGCCAGGACCAGGGGCAAGAGTGGGAAAGGAAAGAGGAGAGGGTTCATGTGGTGAAGCCTAAAATGGCCGCCTGCAGTTCAAAAGGTGGAGAGGCAGAAACTCTAATATTGGTGAGCTTTTTTCCTGCTGTATGCTCAGCCAAGTATCACAAGAAAGCGAGATAGGAGGCGTGACAGAGAGAAAGAAAAGGAAATGAAGGAGAAAACATAAGGGTGCAATAAAACGAGAGAGAGAGAGAGAGAGAGAGAGAGAGAGAGAGAGAGAGACTGCCTCACCCCCCTTTCGGCCTTGTTTCCCCCCCCCCCCCCCCCGAGCGTCCTCCTCCTCCTCCTCCTCCATTATTCTCCCAAGAAGCATTGCTTCTCGGCACGAAACAGAATTAACCAGCACAACCCTCTGCAACACAGCTCCCCGAGCGCTGAGGAAATGCTGTGCCCCATTGGAGAAGCTCCAGAGCTCCTGCACCAATAGGAATGCAACAATGAGGCAGGCGTCAGAGCAGCTTGTTTTTAACCCCGTTGTGCAAGACGACAAACCACACAACACACACAGCACAGCAGCTGCAGAGGGGAAGCTACAGTGACAGGACAGTGGATAGACTTGTGCTATATCTGTCCCTGGAATTAAAAAGGAAAGGTAGAAGGAACCTCAAGTTAGTCTCTCATACAACTGAAGAAATCAGAAAAACAATCTAAATGATATATTTATTTAAATCATCAATACTTTTCATATTCCAAGAAATTAAAGACATTCATATTTATAGGTGTGACAAAACAACTTAATTTTTTTATAAAAGACTCAGGAATTAACTTGTCTACAAGTAACAAGACAAGCACCATTTGATACATGCAAATAAAAATTGAATAAAACTACAATTCAGAGACAAAATGCACACAGCTGCCTCTCACTTATGTGAATTTAATCGTTCTGCTTTCATACAGATGTAGAGCCACAACACTGGCTTGGTTGACTTGGTCACATTAGACACAACGCATGTGAAACCTTATTAACATATCAATAGCTACACCTGCCCTGCATGTAATGATAGAGTGTCATCAGCATGCAAATGGAAAGCTAAAAGGACAGGGTTTCCCCCCCCATTCCTATTCCTCACAGCAACACCTCCTGCTCCAGCTCTTCTCCAACTGTCTGCACCAAGACAGAATCCTGTCTTGTTCTTTTGGAGGTGCGCCCACATCCTGCTTCGCTCCCCCTTGTAAGAGCACACACACAAACCTGGGTTTACATTCTGTACAGTGCACGATCCAGGCTTATCAGAGCACAGCACTCACCTATTCTAATCATGTTTTCAAGGACATGTCACCAAATGGTTACGTTTATGGTTTGTAACCACTATGTGAACGTGGAAGAGACAGACATTATTTCCATAGTAAACAGAAAACGGGGCCAGGCTAACCTTGAATGTCTGCACATTCCTCACATCTCCAAACGTTTCAGAGGCCCATATTGGGAAAGAAGGGTCCTACATCCTGCAGACAGATCCACACATACATGCACAGTGCTGCTCTTGAAGGCAGCCCTCTTTCACCAATTGTTGTAACTTAACACCCTTAACACATGTACCTCACTCTAAAACATAATCTGAAGCTCTTTCAGAGGCCTGGAAACCAACATGGCGGGTAAGTTCACGACAGACCAGCAACAAGCAGCCATGCAGTACATTCTTAGCTTTCCCAGGGTGGCAGGTTGAGTTAAGAAGGCATGCCAGGGTCAGGGGGACTGCTGGATGGGCTCATGTTTCCAATGGTTGTTAGAGGCCAGGTTTGTGAGCTGCAACCCACACAATCTATTAAAAGATGTGAAACATATTCAGAGAATGTCAGTCGCAACCAATGAAAACAAGGCTCAGCACACTGCAATCTGGCTTCCAACGGGCATTAAGATGAATCCAAATACTTGGCAGTGGCTGAACTGCCTCACCCCCCCCCCCCCCCCCCCCCGCAGGACACAGTGTAATCTTTGTAAAGCAAGGTCTACAACAACTCAGGAAAAATAACACTGTCACTTGAAGCCACACATACATTTTCCAATCTCAAATCAATTTCTTGTGTCAATTTTTAACTACTTCTGATTGGAATACACTTGATTAGCGCACATACCCAGCACCAAATATGATTGTGACACCAGACTTTGTTCTCTAGTGACATTCCAGCATTCAATATAATCCTGTCAAGACTGAGTAGAAAGGGCAATATGGCTTAAGTATGACACATAATCACACAAATATCTACTGCTGGGAAGGTAGTCACACATCCGCTGACACATTAATTGACCCAACCATGCACAATAGAGCAAAATAGCGTCTTCTTTCTCTGTGCTGCTGAGCCCACTGCTCCTGACAGGGACGCAGCATAGCAGCCTACGTGGTGCAGCTGAGCTACTCAGGCGACGGTTAGGGCAGCCATTTGTGCTCAGAAAACGCGGGGTCCTACTAAATTATAAACCTCACAAAACGTGTGAGGGGAAGTCGCTATTTAATCACTCAGTCACTTCACAGTAACATTTATCAACTGTGACTGTTGCTAGCTCACAGTTCTGTGTGTTTCATTATACTTAAAAATTCATCAATCGTCATCAGCTACACTGTGAAAATGACAAAGCACAGCTTAATCTTGAGACCAGGTTTTAATCCCTGAAATCAGCTCAACAGAGGTGCAGCATTTCGTTTACTACATTCCGGCCCAACAATACTACTCGCACTTAACTCTTCAGTTGAAATTAAGAAAAAAAATGGAGGCTAAAAAAGGAAACAAGAGCTCCCCTCTAAAATACCACCCATTTCTCTTAACCGCCACCGAGGCAGGGGGTTGGTAGGTGGGGGAGGTGAAGAACAGCAAGTCATTGATGTTACCCAACTGATCGGATTTTCTGATTGCTAGATCCCACATGCAGGAAAAAAAAGAACAAATAATGTTAATCGAGCTTTTAGCTTGAGTCACACGCCTCAGCGAAGTTAGGAATGTTGCCAAAGACAAATACATTAACATGATGAAGCCAAACACCACCATGACGGAGACACCATATTTGTCATAAAACTACACGTATTAGTCCAGAAAACAACAACAACAACAATAATGAGTTCAGTTTACAAATACGTATTCAGGTGTAAACATAACTAAATACTATAGTGTGGGTGCGCTGTAAAGTATCGCTTCTGAATAAGGACACAATCAACTGGAAAACATCCAAAAAGTTAACGTTAGCCAAAATGCTAGTATAGCATTTGTTAACGTTAACCAACATAGCAGCTGGTTGCTTAGCTAACAGGAGTCGTCAATAATGATCAAATAATGCAAGTTGTGTCATGGCTGACTAAAAAAAAATTCGATAGTTTCTTGATCGCGGAACAAAATGTAAACACACTGCTGTCAAACGAACAATGCAACAAATTGTTTCGGTTCTACCAAAACAACTTTGCATATTACCTTACGCGGCCTGATTCTGAACTTCCTAGCCCAATAGATGGGGTGCAGGTCTATTCTACTCTCAGTTTCACCTACTAACAACAATGCAACAAACAGGAATAAAGTACATATAACAGCTGCTGCTGTTTTTTAGACTGTGTAACCTTAGGGTATGTTTAGCCTATGAGGAAACACATATTGAAACTTGGTCAACAAACCGTGTTATTATGGTAACTGTTATTACCATATTATTTGTTGTTTCAAAACGACACCCATTTGTAGCTTAATGGGCTTGGGGCAAAACACAATTCCTCTAATTGGTAATGTAAGTTAACGCTACAACGAAGTGTGACTGGTTTATCCATGGTATGAGAACTGAGAAAAAACAGAACCGATGGCACCCTTAATGGACTAACTGTTAACACGTTATCCTTACACGAGTCAAACTCCTGAAAACTTGCTGAATGTTGTTGAGAGATTTGGGGACATGGTTGCTTGAAATGTGTTATAACATTGGCTATTGTGTAAGTAGTAATGGAGTGGATATCCAGACTAACAAGCTAGCTATCAAAATAACACGAGGAGCTGATCAAAAAGCCACGGAAGATCAGCCCAGACAGCCAACAGCAGCCCTGCAGGGCAGACCATCGATATAGGGAGCATTTTAGCCACTTGAAAGTGGAAAGATAAGCGAAGGCAACCAACTTGTTCTAATAAACTTAACTGGACGTTAAGTAGTTAGCTAGCTAACTTGGTTAGCTTCATAGCTGTGTTTGGTTGACTGAAAACATGGCCAGTAACGTTACGTGTCTGTTATATTTCACGTTATGTTACTGCCCCCATTTGTAGATGGTGATATTAACAATTAACACAAACGTAAAGCACTCACCTAAAGAGACATTCCAAACTTGTACAAGCGAGGCAAATTCATGTACAGTAGAAAGTCCTCAGAGTATCCCAACATCAAATCCAACCAGACCAGTAGGCCTGTGGGCCGGCCTCGGAGTCTCCTGTATCCTTTGCCCTTAAAAGTAGCTCCCTCTCCAGGGGTAGGAAACAAACTTCTTAGTGTCTCCCACGCATAGGCGGAAAGTTAAATTCCCTGTCCTGTTCAGGTGCACTGCATCCATTGAGTGTCTATTATAGATCCCCGTTGGATAAATCCATTTATTTTAGTGTATTGTATATTTACAGTCGCTATTTATAATGGGGTATATGCTGCTGTATGTGATACAGGGCTCTGATTCTGTCTCGGATCCTTACATTCGCAGAGGCGCCCATCCCCCTCCTCACCGGCATCGACCGCGGGTCCCAGCGAAACTGACACACAACCACGCCACGGGGTTTCCCTGGCGACCGTGCAGGGGCTCTCTCCTTGGGCGGCCCTTGCTGCGTTATCCCGCCTCTCGCCAGTGATTCGACAGCGGTGGGTCCGTCATGTTACACACGCGATATAGACGTAGTCTTTGGCAAATTTCAGCGTCAGTTATTTTTTTTTCCGCCAACTGCGTAGAACGGGGCGGGCACTGCTTTGAGGAGGGGTGCGAAATTTCATTTCCATTAATATGTGTGTCCTGGTGGCGCACAAGGAGGAGAGCGAGAGAGAGTGTCGGGACTCCGGAGAAAATTTGACACCCAGCAGAGGATCCGCACCTTCAGAGTTTCGGGAAATGCTCGTTATTAAATTCAAATGCCATGGAATTAATTTTAATTCGTTAGTGGGATTAATGTTTTTTAATTTGAGGGTTACATCTATCTAACGTGGAAGGAGCTTTCATACCAATACATAGTGGCAAGCGTTAGCTACACGGGGTCTCTGGGGCCCAGTTCCAGGGACACCAAAGGCAGGGTTAGCCCACTGGGTCAGCCCCACCTACCGGTATGTCAGTTGAATGGAGTACGAGGTGTTGCTCTCGTAGCATATGGTAAGGGGCTGGCCAGGGAAATTGACCAGTGCTCCTGGGTTGCATCTACTTATTACTGGTCCCTCCTACTTTTGTTCCCGCTTCTGAAATCAGTCTCTTCCCACACTTGGCAGACAGAAAAAGTAACCGACACAACGAAATTAAGCATACCTGCAGCGCCTCAATAAAACACACCATTCCTGGGAGTTGTACCGAGCGTGTAACATTTGCTGTGATGTTAGCATGATATACTTGTTGAATAGTGTAAAGTTGTTGCCCTACCACACACACTGGATTTACAAATAAAGCGTCAAACGGGAGACGTTTTTAACAGATACAAGTAAATAAAGAATATTTTTGATTTGATATTTATGAACAGTCACAATGACGCGATTGGTTTCTTGTCATGTCATGAGACGTGGAGGACGGTTTTGATTGGCTGCGGTGATACATGCCAACGTCATTTGTTGCAGAGGTCTGACGAACGACGAAAATAGCCAGCAGAATAATACAATTGTTACATTGCGGCTGTGGGATTTCCTTAATAAAACGGATAAAGCTCCGGGTTTCGTAAAGCATGATTAATTCATGTAATTATAGTTGGCATTCAAAGTACACGAGAGGTTTGCGTGTTGCGTACATAGATAAAGTGAAGGTATATGCCGAAAAAAGCAGTGATGCATAAGAATAATGGAGACTCCCACTTCCATTGCCACTTATTTCCGATTAGTTGCACAACTGTAGGCTATTCCTCGACATTAAAATAAAACATACAGTGTTGACAGTATTAGAACAGTAGTACATTATGGATGTGTCAATATTGAATCAGTACAAGCAGATATAGTTCCCTATTCGAATTCACTGTAAACTATCTTTTTAATAGTCGGTGGATTATATAAAACACCTACGCCCCAAAGCAACGCATAACGCTAAGTGAATCTATGTTTGACGTCATTTATTTTACCAGTATCTAATCTATCTATCACTTTTGTCAAAACAGTGTCACCTATCCGCTTTCCCGTGTTTTTCCTGCGTTATCTAATCTGGTTCCTGCCCTTAATAATCGCGACCGCCAGGATCATTTCCGAGAGCACGTCATGAGAGGTTAAAGATTGACGGACAGTTTACAAGTTTCCCAGATGGCCTGCCTTGGTAGGCCGTGGCCATTTTTAACAATACCGCCATTGTTACTGCGGTGAAAAAGCAATGTCATATGGCCAGTCCAAACCGCGCACTGCAACATGGCTGTGTTCAACCCTCCCCCACACTGCTTTCACTGCCACAGCTCCAGCAAATCTCTTTCATATGCATAGTCACATATGTTCCAGTCTGCAAGGTAAAAACACGATTCAGGCTGCTTGTTACTTAATTTGGAGGCATTTTAATTGTCTCCGTAGTCTGAAGCACTCACGCAAACGACACACAGGAGGTATCAAAGTGTGGACATGTTACTGAAATTGACATAACTTTGGGATTCCAATGGTATTTTCAAATACACATTTCATATTGCATGCATGACACTGCCATTTTTACAGAATTTCTGTTACAAATAAAACCTTTGACATGAAGCTAAGAGATCTGGGAGTGGCAGTTTCTGCCCACAAACAGGTCTTATTAAGAACATAGACACACAATAGCTCATACATCATTCTTTGTGTATTAAGATTATTAGTGTACAAGACTATTCACAAAGTCCATAACAACTGTCATACACACATCATCAGCGTTCGCTCAAGCTGTAAGTTGATCAACTTAACAATTGTAAACTATCCACGGCAGGCAATCCGAGTGCATAAAGTTAGGCCCAGCACAGGCCTTTACTACATGACATATTGGCTCCACAGAACGTCTCGCCCATCATCAAATTCTACCGATAAATCCAAAAATTGTTATTTAGAATATTTTTACCTTTTGCATAAAGAAAAAAAAAACAATACAACAAAGTCCAGTAACTGTGCATACTGTTAAGGATGGCACACCACAGATTATACAGTATAACAGGCGTATGTATACAAAATATAGCCATTTATCAATAATAAGTAATGTTATTGAGACTACAGGATAGGGATCTTTGGGAGAATAGTTGCATACAGACACAAAATCATTTAAACGTCAAAAATGAGTTCACATAATATCAGTTAATAAGTTGCCCTTCACTCAGGAGTAGTGAATCCAACAGGGAAATACTACATCAGCTATGGGTATAATTATAATTACATTATTTATTAAGCTACAGTACACGGCCCCTTGAATAAGCATAACTACAATACTGGTCAACCACCAAAAATACGTAATTTAACTTTGCCATATCTGATACTGGACAACAAACTAGATGTGTTTGCAAATGTTTTAAGATTCTAATAAGACTCTTCTAAATAGGGGGCCTGTTTAAAAAAGAAAAGGTCACCAGAAAAAGACTGAATTCGTCTTGTCCCCCTATGAACAACTGGTCTCTCTCTCCTCCTGCTCTCAATGGCCGACTATGCGGCTCAGACAAAGAATGAAAGGGAAACAAATGGCTGAGAGTGTTTGTTTTCTGGTGTTGGGACATGTCTGGTCTCTCCTGGTCTTTTTTAAAGGTTGTTACACTCTTGCATGCCAAGACTCTCCCTGTTGCTGGGAAATGCTGCCCTCTGCTGGTTGCACTGTGGCATTGCAGAGCCATGCCTCCCCCCACTGTGGGTTAGAGCCCCTCAGAGCAGCTTCAGACTCCCAGTGACGTTGTTCACCATCTCCTCCTCACCCATGATGGCCAGAACAGTGCGGGACCCAGCCTCCACCTGCCAAAGACAAGAGGGGTTGGTTTAGTGTTAACATTCTGACAAAATGTACTTTCTTACCAAATATATTCTATATAAAATAAATAAATATTAATAATGTGATAATATCCAGAGAATGACTATGTGCACCTCTAAAAGACATTCACACACAAGCTAACTTTGAAAACGTTTTTTTTCCTTTACCTGGGTAAGCCCTGCATCCTGGACCAGGTAAGTGGGCAGGCTGAGGCTCATGGCCAGAGCCTGCAGCTCCAATAGATGAGCCACGTTGGTGCCCTGGACCACCACCTTCTTGGCTCTGTATCAACATAATGCACATTTTTTTTTTTTTTTATCATTAATGTTCATTAGAATTGACTTAATTATTCTGCAATTTCTGCAGGCAACAATGTTAGCAATGAAACACCTGACTGCTGAACAATTCTACAAAGCGAACAAAGCCCAGAACAATGCCAGGAAAAGCGGAACAATTACTGGGATAGAGAAAAGCAAAAGTAGCACAGCTATCCTGACACAGTTGAAAGATGGAGAAAAAAAAAATTAAGTCAAGAGACTCTGAATTCAGATCAAATCAGGTGCTGCAGCGAAAATCAAGTCCTTCCCTTCATTTAAGAGGGGGTAGTCAGTTTAGGCAGCGTTGGTGGGAGCTGCAGAGGATGTTGAAAAAAGAAATAAAAAAACACGGAAACCTACAGCAGAAAAGTCCCAGGTTCCCCCAGCTGATAGGATGTTTGCTTTTGGATGGTTTTTTTTTGTTTGTTTTTTTTAAACAGAAAGTGTATGAAACCTATGGAAACCTATGACCAGTATAGCCATACATTCTGCCATTGTGCATGCTATCGTAGCATTTAGGGTCTCACAGCAGAGTATTGAGTCGTGCTGACCCTAACCCTGATCCCCTAATCCTAACCACAATTTACAGTATGCACAACGAGCTAGCTAATTTAAATCTGTTTAAATATAATTTACATGCGTACAGGTCAAAAGGACGTAATTTTTTTTTAAAAAGATTACTAATGTTAATAATCATTTTTACAGTACTAAATTCTAAAGTTCACTCCTTATAACTCTAATGCTTAGCTTTAATTATTTTATGTTAAATGTACGTGACTAAGAATAACTTAAAAGAAAGAAATTAGATGACCTTCCACATATTCTGTGTAAACCTGTAGTCATTTTAAGGCTTTGCCAATGAACTGACACCATAACAAATGCATGACTTTTCAGTGCATCTCTACTAACATACTGTACAGGCCTTACCCACTGTGGTCCCACTTCCAGGCCATCTCCCTCCAGCTGTTCTTCTCCTGTAGAGCTTGGTACAAACCCACAGCAGCATGGCCAACCTGGGCAGCCACCTGCACAAACACAAGTTCACACCCACACAGGAAACTGTCAAAGTTTTCGTATTAATAACGGTCTCTATGTGCAATTCTTTTCTATTTGAATGCAAACTCCTGAAACGACTGTTCCAGTGCAACTGATCTGAACATCAAGTACAGAACCTGGCAGGTGATCCATACAAATCCAGACTAATAACAACACAGAGACAGGAATGACTAAATATAGGCGTAAGAGCTTATAAGTTGTTTGTTCAGTCAGTGGAGCAACAAACTATGACTAAGCTATTGTTAAACATTAGGACAACACTATC